TCTCTCTCTCTCTCTCTCTCTCTCTCTCTCTCTCTCTCTCTCTCTCTCTCTCTCTCTCTCTCTCTCTCTCTCTCCAACGGGCAGCAGCGGCGGGCACCATGTCGAAACGACCACTTCGAAATTGCTCGGGCCTGTGCGAAACCCCCCACCTCAAAAACCTGTAGTGTCTTGTGTCTGGACCTCTAAGCCATGTCCGGTGGGGTGAAAGGACACTTAAAAATCACCCCGTTATTTTTCGAGGGGCGGCTAGGACCCGACAAACGTCCTCGGCTGCCCCATTTCTTTTTTTGATTTTTGCCCCAGGGGCCTCCATCCGGACATGGGGACCAGACACCGGACATCGGACGCCGGACACCGGACTGTCCAGAACCCGGTTACCATGCTTGAGTTCCTTGGCAAACACGTCTATAAAAACTACATCCTTAAAATGCTTCAAAAATATAAATATTGTTTCCCAGTATTGTACGGTAATATTTTTAAGGTATAAATTTGATACAATATGCCCTTCGAAATGTCATATATTTATTCATAATCATTATACTCGAGTTCCTTGGCAAACACTTCGATAAAAAATACATCCTTAAAAGACTTCAAAAATAAAAAATGTTGTTTCTCACTATTGTTAAACACTTATCCTGCGTAGCACAGCGAACGTGTTCGCGCGTTTGCGCGAACAGCTCGTGAACATGTTCGGGCGAACATAATTTTTTTTGCATAAAATATATATATATATATAAACAGGGTAACCGGCGTTTGGGACGGGCCGAACGCCCGAACGTATGGGACCCCTTGGGGATGTGTTCGGCCGTTCGGGCCGAACGCGGACCCCCAAAAAAAAAAAAAACAAAAGTCATCAAAAAAATCTGAAAAAACGATATGTTATGGAAAAAAATAAATTAAACAATATTTGCCTGAGAATTACATCCGAATTCCTTACCAAATTTGAAATAAAAATAAAATACAGGAAACAAAATACTAATAATAAAAATAAATAAAAAGAAAAAGAAAATTAAATTTAGTGAGTGCGCGAGCATGTTTTCGACACCGCCATCTTTGTCGATTTTTCATTTTTTGTTGGCATAGCTAAATGCCCTGAAAATTTACAGATGTGTACTTCACGTAATACAAAACCCATTAAAAAAGTTTCAAAAAATAATAAAACTGTTTAGACCCCGAACTAAAGTGAAAACAAAAAGTAAAAAGTGAAAAAATACGTGGGCGAGCACGTTTTGACACCGCCAGCTTTGGAGATTTTTAATTCTTATTTGGCTTAGCCAAATGACTTGAAAATTTACAGGCATGTACCTCACATCATAGAGAACTCACAAAAACAAATTCAGAAAAAAATTATTATTTTTAGGCCCCAAAATCATTTTTGGCGGGGGCCGAACGCCGTCGGGTTCGGACCCCGTACGGGACCCCGAACGCCCGTACGTACGGAGGTCTGCCCGGGGACCTCCGTACGTACGGGCTGGCGACCCTGTATATTTGTTTATATATATATATATAAACTCCGACGAAACAGTTTGTCACAGCCCCTCGTTTGTTGTCCTCTTCTCCCTCTCTGCCTACGGTTTACCGGACAGTTCTATTTGACGATATATATATATATACGAAACAGTTTGTCACAGCCCCTTGTTTGTTGTCCTATTCTCTCTCTCTGCCTATGGTTTACCGGGCAGTTTTGTTTGTGACGATATATATATTGGCTACGAATTTGAACATGACTCCAAGGAAAACGTTGCGTGTATTGTTATTTTACATAACATATATATTTTTTAGATTTTTCTGAGAACTTTTTAAAAAAAAATATTTTGTATGTTCGCGTTCGGATGGTTTTGGGCGCTTGTTCGCGTTCGCCTCCGAATGCAAACACGGTGCTACGCAAAACTTATCCTTTACTCAATGATGCTTTATTTTAGAGGGGTTGATAAATACATGGGATTTGCATTTTGGAAATTACAACCGTTGAGTTTGGAAGGAAAGGAGTGAAATGTTTTGGATAGTTTCTTATTGGCTTGCAAAAGAAGAAAATTGCTTTTTTTTCTAGAAGACCCATTCGATAATAAGGTATCAAAAGTGTTAATAATACTTAACATACTAGGCTACCAGAATGGCACGGGACTACTTGCTGAGTCGGGCTAAAGACAAGTAAAAAATAAAAAAAAATAAAAAAAAAAATTGTTTCATTTTAACATTTTGATTTAGTGAAGAATCTCAGTGTGACCCTAAGGCAAAAGTTATTTAGTTTATTAAACTTTATTTCGGATTTTTTTATTTTTGTTGTTGTTTTTGTAGGGACCCTCATTGGCTCTTGCTCTTTCAAATTTCAATTATGAACACCACTTGTTCTTTTAGATAGAACTTCATAGAAGCAATATCCTTGCAACTTTGCAAGTCACATCTTCAAGAAAATTAGTGTTACAATGAAAAATCAATTTGAGATTAGGCTGATTAGCAGATTTTCTTTTCTTTTACAAAGCAAATGTTTTTATGCGAGGATTTGGCCCTCTACATACCTGTATGTGACCCCAAGAGCAAGCATGTGCCTGCCCTAAGTGAAGGCGGGCCCAAAATCTAAACAAGGCCCGCATTTTTCAATTTTCCAAAGCCCTTGGTGGGCGCCAATGGTTGCCACGAGCCAGCTGGTTACATCTGCTCGTGAGAATCAGAAACATTCGTCAGCCTTCTAGGCTCTTCCAGCTACGCAGGGGAATCAAGGAACACCTAACGTTTGTGCGTGGGTGGTTGGGCACGCATAACCAAATCGGTCCCAGGCCACTGTCGGAATGGGCCTAGGCGCATACACTTCTGTCCAAAGTGAAGCTACAGGGCACACTCGTGTCCCAGCCCCGCAGCTAGCGAGCCCGACCACTTTTCATTTAGGAAAGAGTCGGGCTACGGGGAAGGCATTCGGGCTCCTGCGTGGAGATGCGGCAGTGCTGCTGAACAGAGCGCCCACTGCTACTGAACAGAGCGCCCACTGTTGCTAGCGCTGGGTGCCTGGGTGCTAGCGGGCGCTAGAGAGAAGGTGGGCACTGCATGGAAGCAACGCCATAGCCCAGCCTCCATAGCCGGGCTCGGGTGAAGGGAGGTCAGTGGGGTATGGTGGGGGTCCTATGGAGGTGGTAGCACGTGGGTGGTGAAGATGAGGGTGAGCAGAGAGGCCTTGCAGGGAGTGATGTGAGAGCATGTACCTGGTCCTGGCGGAGGTCTGCGTGGTCGACATCTGCATGTACTTTGGTTGTTGCTGCTGACATCAACTGGTTGCTTTGTCGTTTCTGCAAGCTAGCGTAGTAGCTGTAGGATGATAGTCTGGGCGCTGAGCGCTAGCAAGAGGAAGAGCTTCGAGTACATTGATGGTGGTGGCGAGAGAATGCTCTCATTGGCGATTGAGTTCGCTGCTTTGGTTCCCCTTCGATGTGATATTAGTGCATTTCTGCTTTCTTGACAGCTTATGATTATTTGGCTTCCAATGTGATTTTGCAATCTGGAATTCTGTCATTATTGGACCTGGTTCGTGCCGCTCCGTTGGCTCCAGCGCATTGGGGAATTGATGCTGTGCCGTGACATTGCACTGCGGT